AGGAGGAGGAGTGAGAATAGGAGGAAGGAATATCAACAATCTAAGATAATCGGATGACACCATAATACTAGCAGAAAACCTCATAGACTTGGAACACCTACTAAGGAAGATCCAAGAAGAAAGTGCAAAGGCAGGCTTACTATTGAATTAAAGAAAACAAAAATAATGACCACCAAGGACCTTCACAAGTTCAAACCTAGACAATGAAGAAATAGAAATAGCAAAAGAATTCCCATACCTGGGATCAAACATTGATAGAAAGAGGGACTGCAGTCAGGAAATCAGAAGACTACGAATGGGGAGGGTGGCTATGAAAGAATTAGAAAAGATTCTAAAATGCAGATATACAACTCAGCACAAAAGTCAGAATCATACAAGCCATTGTATTCCCTATTCCCACGGATGGATGTGAGAGCTGGACAGTTAAGAAAGAAGATAGGAAGAAAATCAATGCATTTGAGAGAATGTGTTTCTGGAGAAGAGTGCTGAGGATCCCATGGACAGCCAAAAGGACAAACAAATGGATCCTAGAACAGATCAAGTCGGAAACCTCCCTGGAAGCCAAGATGACCAAACTGAGACTGTTGTACTTTGGACACATCATGAGAAGAGAGGACCCTTGGGAAAGACAATAATGCTGGGAGAAGTGAAGGGAAGTAGGAAGGCCACAGGCCAGATGAATGGATGGTCACTATCGGGATTTAAGGGGGCTGGAGGAATTCCCGGTAAGCAGAGCAGAGGAGGACAGGAGGTCTTGGAGATGTCTCATCCATAGAGCCACCATGAGTCAAGATCGACTGGAGGGCAGTTAACAACAACAACAACATTAGTCCTGTCCTGGGCCAAAAAATGTTTTGCCCCCAAATGCTGTCTAGGATGTGTATGGGGCATTTTCACTATGTTTTATCCCATTCCCCAGCAATTTATGGCCCAAAACGGGCCTTTTTTAACAATAGAAGCTAGCATAGCAACATCCCATTTCAAAAAAGGGTTCTCTTATTTCCAAAGTGGGTGTTTTTTTTGGGGGGGACAATATGACAAGAAGGCCTTCCATGCTCTCTAGAGAGGTTGGGGGGGGGAAGGAATTGGAAAATTATTATTACTGCGCATCCCTCCATGTTTGCAGCTTTGACTGTTGCGGACGTGATTATTTGCAGATTTCATTAATATATCCTCTCTAAGAATTTCTAGGTTCTCCAACACAACTCTGTTGGAAACTGACCATAGAGTTGCGCTACAGGACTTGAGAGATTAGTAGAGAAAACACTTCTCTAGGCATTTGTAGGTCCTCCAATGTGATTCTATGGTCAATTTCTGGCAAATGTCATATATGCTGTCTGCTAGGAGCAAATGGAAGGAGAAACCCAATCTATAGGATCTCCCAACCTTCTTTACTGGGAAATGTTCAGCATAGCTATTCTAATTCTCCAGTGCATAGTCAAACTTTGCACTTGCCTCCATGGATCATCTTTGTGAATGTATGACTTTGATACACAATAGCTAAAAGACTATACCTCCCAACCACTGTTGGGTCAGGATCTGCGCTCCATAATGTTGTCCTGTGCTTAGCTCTATCTGGTGGGCTTCCATATCAAATCCCCCCCCCCCTTTAAGCTGGTCAATCGCTGGTCTACAACAGGAGCGGACAAACCTATGGCCAGAGCCTTTGTTTTGAGTGAATGGTCATGGTCAGCTGAGGCATTCTGGGAATTGTAGTCCAGAAAATGGGGAAGGAACTCTCCCTGGCTTTGCTTTTAGGAACTATTATTTTTCATTGAAGCTTCAGGGTCCTCCACCATCTGGAGACACGTGATGTGCAGAATTAAGGAACAGAGAACTTCTACACACATGGGGACCTCTCCAGATGTGCTGAACCACAAATCCCACAAGCCCTTGCCAATGATTTGGCTGGACAGGGACCATAGTTTCAGCTTGCAGTGCCATTTTGGAGGGTCAAAGGTTCCTCGCCCCTGGCTTTGAGCCAGCGTGAATTTGCACTATGCAATTATAGGAATTTGATCCATCCTACGGAATCCATCTTAAAGAATTTGTACTTTAGAGAGAAGTACTTGGAATTTTCTGCTGGACAATTCTAGTCCAGTGGTTCCTAAACCTTGGATCTGCTAGATCAGTAGTTCCCAAACTCTGGTCCTCCAGGTGTTTTGGACTTGAGCTCCCAGAAGCCTCAGCCATCTTGGCCAGTGGTCAGAGATTCTGGGAACCGAAGTCCAAAACACCTGGAAGATCCGTGTTTGGGAATCACTGCTCTAGATGTTTGGACTTCAGCTCCCAGAAACCCCAGTCAGCTTGGTCAAAGGTGAAGGATTCTGGGAGTTGGAGTCCAAAACATCTGGAGGGCCACAGATTGAAAATCACTGCTCTAGCTGCACCGCAGTGCTACCAGAGAAGCCTTTAATATTTGAGTGCTGGAGAGCAGGGTTTGATTCCCAGCTTGGCCATGAAACCCACCAGGTGATCTCGGGAAAGTCACACTCTCTCAGCCTCAGATTATGCCCCTCTGAAGAAAGCTTGTCAAGAAAACCCCATGATAAATTCACCTTAGGGTTGCTGTAAGTCAGAAATGACTTCAAGGCACACTACCACCAGCAACCGCAAATCCCAAGCTTCTGTAGGATGGAGCCATGACAGCGAAAACCAGTAGTAAACTGCTCTAATTGTGCAGTGCAGATTCACTTTTAAGACTTTGTTTCCAATCTCAAATTTCAATTCACAGCTACTTGAGACATACCCTACTCACATAGTGGCCAATCAAAAGATTGTGCAAACGTATCTAATTTTGTGCATTTTGACTGGCCCCATAAAAGCATCATTGTTTTGTGGATTTTGGGTGTTATTGCAGATGTCATTGTAGAAAATCGGTTTTTATTTTAATTTCAAATGTCCTAAATTTTGTTGTTGCTAAATGTCCTAAATTACAGTTTTGTTGTTGCTAAAATACCTGCAATTCAGAAACCCATGAAGGTCTACTACAAATCACCCCAATGATCAAACGGTGAATCTTGATTTCTCTTTTTTGCCGTCCCGGTCTACCGCAACACCCTTCAAGACTTTTGGGGCCTAGACCTCAACATCAACTGACACAAACATTTGAGGGCCCACAATTTTTAAAAGCGACATGCGAGAGTGGTGATAAAGTGACTTACATTGCGATAGGCAATCTGTGCACCTCCAGGGACTGCATTACCCAGCAGCCCCAGCTGGAATGCGCAATGGGAAAGAATGGAGGTCCATGCAGCCCAAAGACACCTGGAAGACCACAAATGGCCTGACGATTGTAGCCCAGAGGTCATCATGCTGCAGCTTAACTCTGGACTGCATCTGTACTGTAGAAATAATTCAGTTTGACACCACTTTAACTGCCATGGCTCAATGGTGTGGAATTCTGGGTATCTGATTTGGGAAGGCTAAGTAGCTCACAAAACTACAGTTCCCAGAATTCCATAGCATTGAGCCATGGCAGCTAAAGTGGTGTCACACTGGATTATTTCTGCGGTGCAGACGCAGCCTCGATACTGATGATACTCAACCAGGCTCCAAGGGCTATAGCCACAAAAGCTTATGTTTGCAATTTCTTCTTCCGAACCAGAGGTGCCACTGGGTTTTTTAAAAAATGTCTTCCAGTGCCTGCAGTTATACTGATTATGGCTCCCATCACCATCATATTGCAAAGTCATGGACCAGGACTCGTGGGGATGATGGTTTTTTTTTTTTTTTTTACTCCCACACATCTGGAGGACATTAAGGAAAAAGGGAGAATGCACTAAACAAAGATACTCTCCTGTTGTTGATGTACAGTGTTAATTGCTGCAACACAGGATAGAGCCAGTGTAAGGTAGTGGTTTCAGTGCTCTGGAGACCTGGGTTCAAATCTCTACCCAACCATGGAAACCCAGTGTGTGACCTTAGAAAAGTCACTCACTCTCAGCCTCAGTGAGAGGAAAAGACAAACCCCTTCTGAACAAATCTTGCCAAGAAAATCCCATGACAGGGCACACAACAACAACAACAACTACACTTTGCCATAAAAAAACTCGTTGTGTGCCTGCAAGTTGTTTCTGAGTTACAGTAACCCTAAGGCAAACCTATCATGGGGTTTTCTTGGCAAGATTTTTTCAGAGGGGGTTTGCCATTGCCTTCCCCTGAGGCTGAGAGAGTGTGATTTGCCTAAGGTCACTCATAGGCTTCAGGGCCGAACAGGGATTCGAACCCTGATCTCCAAAATCCTAGTCCAACATTCAAACCGCTATGTCATGCTGGCTCCCTGAAGATCCACATTCATATAGGTGAATAAATGGACATAATGTACTTTTGAGCAGGGCTTTATTCCAGTTTAATTAACATGGAACAGGAGAATGCATTCCAGTGTTATTGTAACAGGTCCAAAATGGATCTGCCATCCACAGCCAAAGTAGTAGTAGTAGTTATTATTGTTGTTGTTATTATTATTTACCCACTTCTCCCCAGGGATCAAGGCCCAGAACAACAACAATGAACAGACATCAGTTAACACACAAAAATTTAAAAAGGACAGATAAGATATACAGTAGCTATTCAAACAATCCACCTTTAAAATTCACCATTTAAAAATAGCCTGGATAAACCTGCTGGAGGCAATTTCACCCCACCTTAACTACCCCAGCTGTTGCCTATGTCAACCTGGGATCTGTAGTTTGCCAAAAGGCTTGAAATTCTTCTTCTATACCATTGCTGAGTGAACCAGAGAAGCCCAAGTACTTCCCCAAACTACAAATCCCAGGATGCCCCAGGACATGGAGCCACAGCAATTAAAGTGGCATCAGACTGGGGGGAAATCTGCAGTCTAGACACACCCTGATGATATCATCCAGTCCCTCTTTTTCCCCTCCCCATGCCTCTAGAAAACTTGATTTCTCTCCTCTCAACTTGCTCCATTTCTTGAAAGAAAAGAAAGGAAATTACAGTTCACTACCAACACACTGTCTCAGCCTTCAAGCAACTATAAAAGGCCATCATATACAACCTCCAGTTGAGAGACCCAAAGCCTTACCCCCAAACCCATCCTTGGCCACAAACCCCTTGGCCTGGCCCTGATCCTCAACCCTCTTTCTCAGAAGGAAACCTCCTTCCCTTTCCCCAAAAGGTGATCAGAGGTTGCAACCCCAAATTTTGAAGAAGAGATTGCAATCCAAAACCTTAGAGAAGAGATGAGATTACAACCCCAAACCTTGCAAAGGGGGGGGGGG